GGTCAATATACAAGAAGGGGGAGTAGAATGGAGAACAAAGCAGATGTGAGAACAATTAGGCAGGTTTGCCTGGGCTAAGCGGGACAGAGATAAAGAGGATGTAGGTAACAACCTTGGAACAACAGGGCTCTGGGATACAGGAATTGAGACAAGGTTGGAAAGGGGAAAAGGGGGGAAATAATGTTAATATGCTTGGCTGTCTTTTGAATCTTGGTTTCCTGTGCATATCATTATAAAATAGACACTGGAGGGAGAGAGAAAGGAATAGCCAGAAATATCATAGGAAAGCTTGCAAGTCCATCTTTTGCCTATAATTAATTGGAATGCCTAAAATGAGGCTACAACGTGCCCAGTGAAGGAAGCTTCCGGTGGAGCCTCTGCATTACATAAAGCCATAAGTAGAATCCTGAACAGCATCCAGAATCCTCAGAGGTGGGAAATTTCCACTTCAAGGGACAAGCAGACCAGCCTGGGGCAGCTAGAAGAACAGAAGATACTTCTTGAAAGAAAGACTGACAGGAAAAATACAAAACAATATACGCAGAACGACTGACTACTACAAGAACAAGCAAGTTGTTTGTCCAGGAAACATCAAGGCAAGTGGTCGGGTCCCCTCAGTGCAAACCCCTTTCCAAGACTAAGACTCAATGGGAATACAAGCTCTGATTGGTGACCACTTTCATCACCGATAAGGGGAAGTGAGGGAAAAACAGCAATGAAGCTGCGAGCTAAGCCCTGCAACATTCAATAGACTCCTGTGAAACCAGGTGGAGACCTGGTTGGCCAGCAGTGTGGCAAGACCTGGGGACTCTTGGGCCCAGAGTCAGTGACATAGTCACAAAGGACTGGAGTGGAGAGTGAAGCATACAGCTGATAAGAAGAGAAAGCATATACACAAGAACACCCACGCTTACAGATAATACCCACTTGACATGGCTTCAATGACTGGATGATCAGAGCTCAACTAGAAGAGGAAAAAAAGAGTAATCTGATACAATTTGCTGAACTTGACCTATACCTATGGATGCAGTAACTCAATAGACGGAACATTTATTTACAGCAAGGATCATTCCCACCCCCTTCATACACAGAGTAGACAGTAATGGACAACTTGGACTTTGGCTACCCAAAGGGGGGTGGGGGTGGGGGCTACAAAGGCAAGAAGTGACTGGCTTACAAACTTTCAAGAGGGAACCTAGATCCAGAGGGGGTGGAAGAAGGTAGAATCTCCACTTAGTATACAATCTGTCTAGACGGGGCTGATAAAATGAAATGCAGCTAGGTCTCTTGTGATACAATAATGAATAATTGTAATCAGGACTGATCGTGAGGGTTGTAAACGTAAAGGTAGATGTTTTGTAGCAAGGAGGGGAGTGATTAACTTTACAGTCTAGGAGCAGAGATCCCTGAGACCATCAAGGGGCGGGACCCTACCCGGAGAAACAGTGACGCCAGAGATGGAGGCAAAGATGATGACGCAGCGAGATGGAGCAGCTGGGGACTTTAGACCCAGAGAGGGAGAGGGGCTGTGTGCTGATAACCATGGGGCAGGCTTGTAGGGTATACCCTTTGGTTGGTGATGATGCATGGAGAGGATTGTAACCATGGCAATGAAACAATATACAATAGGATGAATGTAAAACTAATGTTCTCCCATGTAAACTATCACATAATTCACAATAAAACATTAAAAAATAAATGAATAAATAAATAAGACAGGGCTTATTGGTGAGAAAGAGACTGGAGGAACCTGAGACCATGGCCTTTGAGCACTCCTGGAAAGGAACTCACCCTTGTGGTTCAATTTTCAGTCAAGCAGTAGGTCAGTATATTGGGGACGGGGGTGGGGAGGTGATGGGAGGGAGCAACACTACTAACTCACCATGGAATGGTCAATCATTCAAGATCAAAAGGGCAACATTTACCTAAGGACAAAGTTGAGAAGGGATGGGAAGGTGGGTGCCATGGAAACAGGAAGTACAGGGAGGAAGCTCAGCTCGGTAACTGTTGTTGCCTGGAGGGGATTGCAATTATTGAGATGAAAATCAGAGTGTATGATCTGTTGAATGTAAAACAGATGATCTTGTCTATAAACCATCACTCAATACACAATAAGTTAAGAAAAAAGAAAGGTAAAAAAAAAAAAGAGTGAAGACAAATTAGGTTTCCTCTCAATTGCTAATGTGGATACAGGCCTTAAGTACAGAGGTGATCAAAGGCCTGGGTAAGTGAATATATCTCCTGGCTACAGGTGTGGGCAAAGGATGCAGCCAGAGAGAGCGCCTCACTAAGATGCCCTTATGAACATATTCACATCCCAATAAACACATGCCAACCAGCATTCCAGTTATGAGAACCCCAGCAAGTGTATGTAGAGGGAAAAAAAGATGCCCAAAGTCAAGATAAAAATGACTTATTTTTTTAAAAATTCAGAGTCAGGGGGTAGTCAGCTGTTTGTTTTGTTAAAAAGAGTGCACTATGAAGCAAAGAAACAGCCTTTGTAAAGACCTCAGGTGAGATGTGGGGTCAATGAAAAATATAAGAGAAACAATTCACTTAGCAACTCCAGGCAGAGAGACTAGTCCGAAAGATGAGAATCCTGTGTGACCTTACCTGTCAAAGTGATAAAATTATCAAGAACACAAAGAGCTTGGATCAAAAATTCAGAAAGAAAATCTTTCTCTACCAGAAAATAAGCAGATCTTAGAAGAAAACCCCCATGAGTTCATGAAAGCTGGCTGATATTCTCTCCCCTGGTCATCTCCATGATGTCCAAGGCCCTCTATGCATTTAGGAATCACTAGGTGGTGCAAACAGTTAATGAGCTCAGCTGCTAACTGAAAGGTTGAAGGTTCAGGTCCACTCAGGGGTTCCTCAAAAGAAAGAACTTCTGAAAATCAGCCATTGAAATCTATGGGGCACAGTTCTACTCTGACACTCACAGGGTCGCCGTAAGTCAGATTTGACTTGAAGGCAACTCATTTTCTGTGATCTTTGGAATCTGCACAGACTAGGTATTTCTGTATCGTCCATCTTTTCCCAACTTGTGTCATCTATCTGGAAGTTTAAATGGGACTCACAATCCTCCCTTGGGCTGTGTTTCATTTCTGAGGTTGCGACTATGCAGCTACTCTGATCAATAGCGTCCAGGCCACATGGAGGTGTCTCTGCTAATCCCAGTAATTCTTTCCATCTGCTTTATAGATTCCCGCGAAGGTAAACTTAAAGGAATAAGCCCTCAGCCTCTAAGTCAAGATGTAACAGAATTATTCTGGTTGGATTTCCAGCTGATCAGCCTTTGTGTGAGACTGACTCAAGCACATATTCAAATCGACCATTATCTATTGACTCCTTACTGTTACTCGGGCAATAGACTGCTAAACGCAATGACTTTTGGTAAAGCGGCAAAATGGGGCAAACTCAGCCTAGTGAACATCTAAAGTCTTCGTACTTGTGTGTCACTCGGACAGTGGCGGGTAAGCCCACAGCATTGCTGTCTGCCAGCATCGCACTGCTAGCAGCCTGGAGACCTCCTGGCCCCTGGCGGCCTTCGTCATGACGTTTGGCAATGGCTCTTGGTTGTAACACTTGCAGTTCTTCTTCCTCTAGGTTTATGTCATATATTTCACCTTCAAATTCGACGGACAAGGAACGTGTCTGCCGAGTATGGACAAATCTGGGCTTGTACTCTGAAAATAAGGGAAGAGATGTTAATATGGCTGGGTCCTGGGAAGTACAGAATGTGCTCATCAACTATCCTATAGGTGGGTGGTTTGAACCCACCCAGCAGCGCTGCAGAAGAAAGGCCTGACAACTTGATTTTGTAAACGTTATAGCCAAGATAATTTTATGGGGCAGTTAGACACTGAAACATCACAAGTCTAAATCTACTTGATGACAATGTGTTTGGTTTGGTTGGTACATCAATAAGGAGGTCATGATGTAGTTTTTCGGGGGGAAGGAAATGATCATTGGGCATGGTGATCATTTGGGGAAGGGAAAAGCAGTACATGGTACTCACCATGGGGGAACCTTGCTACTATTTAGCAGTATCAGTTGGTAGATCCTTCATGGCTCAAGTAAAGGGTGGGTGTGGAATCTCTAACATCCTATCCATTTAATGGCAGCCCATGAACGTCTACATTGAGTTTTCAAAGTGAACTACTAATGTCGAGTCTTTAGATCAAATTACAGCTTCAACTATAGAATTATTGATAATGACTCACATTGTTCACGTTATACATAGCTTTAATTCACAAGCTTGAAAGTTAGGTATTATTATAGTACATTCTTACATTGTTATTGTTGAGTGCTGTCAAGTCGGTTCTGACTCACAGCGACCTTGTATTAGATTTCCAAGGCTGTAACTCTTTACAGGAACAGAAAGCCTGATCTTTCTCCCACATAATGGCTGGTGGGCTCAAACCGCCAACCTTGTGGTTCAAAGTTCAGTGCTTAGTCTATTAAGCCACTGCTGTTGTTTTTAAATGCTGTCGAGTGGTTCTGACTCATAATGACCCTGAATAGGGCTTCTGAGGAGCGGCTGGTGGGTTTCAACTGCCAACTTTGCGGTTAGCAATCCAGTGCTTATCCTACAAGCACCACACTAAGACTCCTATATACACACAGAATATGGTTAAAGCAAAAGTCCATCTGTGGAGTTTAGACCTAAGGGCTTCCATTAATGGACTGAATTAATTTCATTTCCAAATTTTAGACACGGAATTTGATGTCTGTTGTTTAATGTATGTGCATAAATGGTAAAGCACTCGACTACATGATTAAAGGTTGGCAGTTAGAAACTGCAGAGAGGCTCCTTGGAAGACAGGCCTGGTGATCTGCATTGGAGAGTTCACAACCTTGAAAATCCTATGTAGCAACTCTACTCTCACACATGGGGTCAACATAGAACCAGTGACCACAAAATTAGACACTTTGAGTGTTACTCCACTAGATGGCACTAGACTCTCACTCTTTTTTGGAAGATGCTTGACTGCGGGTTTACGTATTTCAATAATCACAGGTTTCTTGGCTGCCTGATATAACTTTCACAAAGAAATTGTTAGGTAGTGCTTTTCCTAATGCATTTAACTAGTTTGACCCAGTCAGCTTACAAGAGGCAACCATTTGACAAAATTTAAAAAAAAGAAATATCCTCAAACAGATAAAAACATATGCCTTTTAAAAATTTGTTTATGATTCCCATTATGGTAAATGTACAAGTAGTAAAATCTTGGGATTTGTTTTCTAGCAACTTCAGGCAGACAAATCAGGCCACCAGCCTGAAGGTAAAATTAAATTGCCTTAAACCATACCCGTTCCCTTTGAAAAAATCACTTTTATAGCTCTTTTATGCACGCATATGTGCCATGTCTGGTGATTTTACTGAGTAAATTTTTATTCTCCGTGTAAGTAAAAACTGTTTACAAAGTAAAATTTCAAATGAATCTCAGTTTTCTTATTTTAAAACAACAACCATTTGGTCTTTTGGCAAGTGGGCTGGCACAAAGCAACCCTAAAAGCATACATTTAACACCTACAATCTAGAAGGAGCAACCCTTTTGTCTTTTTAACATCCATTCCCAAAGGGCCTGGTCTGGCCTGGCCCCAGAGATGGTTGCAAGTGCTTACTTGGAGTCCCCTGGTTCCTCAGGAACTGCCTTTGGTTTTTCCTCTGGGTCCTGCTGGCACGATACCCATGCTCTGCACAAGTGCACTCTTTGTCTTTACCATGGAAGCCGCGAGAGTAGAGGTTTCGTGTGCTCTGCCGAACAGTGAGCAGGTCACTGGAGCCTTTACATTTGTGAATTCGCAGCTTGCCAGATGTGTCCTCAATGCACTGCCACTTCTGCAAAAGCCAACGTGAAAGGGGGGTGGGGGGAAAATTGCAAATACGATCCAGGTGTTACTTATTAAACTCTGTTGCTTTCGTTTCTAGAAACACTGGCAACACCATAGAGAGTTAGTGACCAAAGGCAAGCTTGTAAGTGACCCAGCAATACTGCAAGTCTCCAGTTCTCCTCATTATTCCTTTCATTGTTGGCAAATACAGATGACAAGGAAATCACTGGAAATCAGAACTACCTAAATGACACTAAAGCCAAAAATGAGATATAAATCCTCTGCCTCCAGACTAAACAGTCTTGAATGGAACTGTAAAAGCCCTTAAAATTCACCAAGCCCCAGAGCACAGCTGTCCTGGCTGTTTTCTTCAGACCCTTCTTTCAGGAAAAACAAAACTCTGATGCTTTGTTCTCTGCCTCTGAATGTCTAATACGAGCCAGGGAAGTATGGCAGATAAGGAGACTGCAGTGTATTTAAACTGCATCCATCCCAGGGCAAGCCACTTTAAATACACCTCAGATATGAGAACACATGGCAGGTGCCTCTTCTTACCCATCTGCAACACTGCACACCCATTGTAAACACTGCTCTTAGCAGAGTCCTGGTCCACCGCCTTAGGAGACACTCATGGGCGTTTGCTAATTGTGAGATTTTTCTCAAACCTGTTACATACATCTCAGTCTCCATGAGGAACAAATGAGACGCGGTACCAGTTTTAAGTGTTCCTCCCGCTGCTGCTGCTTTGTGTTTCTGTTGGCATTGGTTGAAGAGCCCTTTATAGGAGGGTGAGCTCTTTTAAAATGTCATTGCGGTAAAAGATATATAACAAAAATGTTGATGTTTTAATAAATGCAAAGTGTACAACTATTGTCAAATGCCATCAAGTAAATTCTGACTCATAGTGACCCTCTGTATCATTTCCAAGGAGTGGCTGGTGGGTTTGAACCACCAACATTGCAGTTAGCAGTCCTGTGCTTACTCTACAGCCCACACCAAGACTCCTAAGTGGTGTTAATTAGTCACCATGTTATGCAAAGTTTCATCACCCCAAACAGAATCCCAGTACACCTTAATAACCCCACCTGTCCTCCTTTCCATTGCCCCTGGTAACCACTAATCAACTTTCGTCTGTGCATTTGCCTACTGCAGACATTTCATATCATTAGTTTGTCCTTTTGTGTCTGACTTATTTCACTTAGCATAAAGTTCCTAGTGGGTGCTGTAGGATAAGAACGGGACTGTGAACCTACCTAAAGGTCAATGGTTCGGCAGCTCAAACCTACCAGATGCTTCCTGGAAACCCTATACAGGGTGGCATGAGTCAGAATGGACTTGATGGCATTTACCAACAATAACAAAAACAATGACTTGAAACTGACTCTGCAACACTTTAACAACAACAACAAAGTTTTGAATGTTCTCCAATACTTCTTGACTTTCAAAATGGCTAAAATCATGGCTCTTCATGCATGTAAAGATCCCAGTTGGCTTTTTCAGCAGGCAAATGACAGTCCTGTACAAAACGGGGTGCAGTCGTTCACAATGAACCAAGAGGCAGAGCGGTAATTCATTTTTCTCTAAACACTCATTTGCCTTCAATGAATGTTGAACAATCGAACTAGCCTTTGAGTATCTCCTGTACAATCCCCAAACTCCAAGTATTTAGAGCTTGTTCTACGACATTGCTTTAGCCCCTGAATATTGGTGCTATACTGAATTTAGTTACTTCAAGTCAAACTTCTTTTGAGGCTTGGTCAGACTATCTTGAAGGTTCAATGTTTTTTCCATCCAGAAAAGCAAGACCTAAGGAGACAAGGCAACTAACCAGCTCTAAACAAAGCCAAAAAAGGCAGTACAAACAAGAATAGTCTAAGCACTAAGTTACAGTAGATTTGACTTAAAAAAAAAAGGGGGGGGTGTGTGTGGATAAAACTAGATTAAGCACTCTGATGTTATTTCAGATTCGTGACTCTGAAAGTTGGTTGGATATTAGGATTGTACTGAAAGTTTCACAGGTGATTCTAATCTGCAGTTTTGGTTAAGAACCACTGTTTTCTGTTAGCAACTAGATACTGGACCTCTTTGCAGCTGGTTCTCATGTGGAGGGCAGAGGTGATCTAATGAGATCTAAGTAGCTCAGAGGGATAAGTCTTTGAGAGCTAGACATACATTTAGGTGTGTGAGTGTGAAATGGAAGGTGGACCTAATAATTTACTCAACTAACCATGCCAGAAAATGACTCTAGTTGACTACTGGCTGACTTATACTTGTAAAACAATGTATTATATTTAAGAGAAGAAAGAAGAATTATATGCAAAATCACAGTGTTGGCGAAAAATATTGAATAAATCATGGACTACCAGAAGAACCAAGAAATCAGTCTTAGAAGAAATAAAACAAAATGTTCCTTCCAAGTGAAGATAGTGAGACTTCAACTTGCTTACTTTGGACATATCATTAGGAAAGGTCAATTGCTAGAGGAAAACAACAAACACATTTTGTTTGGTAAAGTAGCGGTCCAACAAAAGTTGGGCAAAACCCTCAATGAGATGGAATGACACAAGTGCCACCACACTGGACTCTAATATACCAGTGAACATGAATTTGCACAGAACCACACAGCATTTCCTTCTGTCACACGTATAAAGTCCCAGGAGTCAGCCCTAACTCAGTAGCAATTAACAACAAACAATTCTCCTTGCTCTCTATGTATAGTTAGTTGACAATGGACAGAACTTAGTTAGCCTCAGGTGAAAACTGCATCTGGACTGTTCCATCTTCCATTTATTTAATGTGGTGACCCAAAAGCCACAGGCCTGAGCTTGGGACACTCACAGATACGTCCAAAAAGCTTGAGAAGGCTCCACGAAATTCTTGAAACAGTTCTCAGAAGCTGATAAATAACCCCATTAGGAAATAGTCATATGCCATAGAGAATTCTTGCTGGTTGAAAGCTCCACCAAAATAACTTTTCATAGCTTCAAAAGGTTTGGGAAACATAAGTGTTTGAGTATCTGCCTCTATATATCTATGTTGTTGTTTTAAGTGCTGTCAAATCACTTCTGACTTACAGTGACCCTGTATAGGGTTTCCAAGGAGCAGACTGTGAGTTTGAACCACCAACCTTGAGGTCCAGTGCTTACCCTATTATCTGTCTTAAATCCAAATGTTTTAAGATGTGTCCACCCACTGGGGTGCTATAGGATAAGCACTGGACAGCTAACCACAGGTTGATGGTCCAAATCCACCCACCACTCCTTGGAAACCTTATACAGGGTCACTATGTGTCAGAGCTGACTTGATAGCACTCAACAACAACAGTCATGGTGTGGCACTGTGGGTTAATGCGCCAGACTGCAAAGTCATTTGAACTGCAAGGTCGGCAGTTCAAACTCACCAGCTGCTCCTTGGAAACCCTACACAGGGTTGCTATGGGTTGGAATCGACTCGACTGCACTTAACAACAACAACAAGTTAATTGTGACAATGAAAGTGGAGCTCACACAATTCCCAGCCAAATGGAAGGTTAGAAAGGACTCTAAAATCTGGCTCATTTTACTCTTAAAAAAATACTGGCCTTATGGCATTTGGTGTTTTTATTTATATCAAGTTTAGTATAGAAACTTATTTTTAAATTATACAACTGCAGTAGAAACCTTCATCAATTTTATAACTACAATGCATTTTTTCCTAAAAAATTCTATTTCTTTTCATTTTTGGTTTAGAAGAACGAGAGCACAGGTGTATTACGGTAGAACACAAAGGTGTAGCAGAAGTTTTAGATGCTTAACCTATTTGCAATCCAACCTGCTTTATCCACTGGCCAAATTCCTTATTGATTTCTTACAGGATAGAGAAAAAAAGAGTGAAGTCCTGGTATGGCGCTGTAGGATAAGCACACAACAACCACAGGGTTGGTGGTTCAAACCTTCCAGCCAGCCACTCCTTGGGAACTCTATACAAGGTTGCTATGCGTTGGAACTGACTTGATGGAACTTAACAACACCAACAAAGAAAAGCAGTTTCCTGTCTGAAGATTCAAATTATTTGTAGAATTGATGACTATATCACATAAAATCAAATATTCATACACAATACATACATACATGCACACACACACACAAATATACTCATATACACTATATACATACATATACCTAGGTAAATACTTGGATACAACAAGAGTCACTGGCAAATATGCCTTTGTAAAAAGTCAAGAGACCCTATTAGATACAGTAATTAGTGAAAGGCTTTGAAAATCTTAACTGCAAGCATACTGAGGATTTTAATGAAATGAAATCACCTCACATTTGCTATTCATTTTTGTGTTCGATATCAAGATAATTTTTATGGTTGAGCAACACGACCTTGAAATAGCTACAAACTGGACTCCTGGTGTGGTGCTCTAGGATCAGCACTGGACTGCGAACTACAAGGTGGCCCGTTCAAACCCACCAGCTGCTTCTCGGAAACCCCATACAGGGCCGCTATGAGTCAGAACCGACTGGATGGCATTTAACAACAACAATACTTAGAAGGTTTATAGGAGCAAAAGAACACATTGTTTAAAGAATCTGTCTAAAACTCGTCAAAATGGTCATTGCAGAAATGGCTTAGGAATCGGGGGAAAGCCTGCACTCAGGTGAGCTTTTGTTAACGGGACATGGAATCAGGCCTCAGAAATGGGCTTTGTTAAACAAGTGCCCTTGCAGAAGTACAGTTGTCATGTGATCTCACCTTCAGAGTTGATCAGTAACTCAGTTAGTAGTTAAATCTGATTGTCTCCTTCTTCAAAGACCACTCAACTCATTCACACTGCAAACTTCTTCCCTGCTTTACGAATTCTCCTCCTCTCTGACTTACTAGTTGCTAACTGAAGGGGCAGTTGTTCTAACCCACCAGCAACTCTGTGGGAGAAAAAGATCTGGCAGTCTGCTCCCACAAAGATGACTATTGTTGTTAAGTGCTATGAAGTCGATTCCGACTCATAGCGACCTTGTATAG